ATATAAGATACTCTTTTAGGGGAAAATTGTCGATTGGTTCTCCTCTACCACGACTGCTTACAGTTAGAATTCAGGTTGTCCAAGTGCGCCGACGCCATCATCTCCATCAACACGTGCGAGTATGTGGAGACGTTCAACTATGCAGTCGGGACCTGCACCGTCATGAAAATTCCCAACGCGCCGTGGACTCAGTTTTTTGCTTCGATGAATCCTCCCTTCTTCTGCCCCATCAAAGCTGTAAGCCTTCTGCTGCTTCGCTTCGCGATCCAGGTTGTAAATGAGACATTTAACTGGTAGGCGGAAACAAGGAAGTACATGAAGATGGACAATAAGCCAAGCCTTCAACTGGTTTGGCTCCACCGCGGCCATCTTCATGTTCTTCCTAGCTTCGGCCTATATCGGCTAAATTTCTCTGTTACGATGTATGCACACCGCCATGTACGTACATCTATCCACTGAGACATTCAGGTCGAAGCGATATTTTCACAGATTCGATTTTTTCACTGCAGGGAAACTACTCCTTTCGCAACGCGGGAATCGACCCCAAGACGCTGGAGCAGTACCAATACGTACCATTTCGCACGATTGATAACGCGATCTGGATCACGACGCTAAGAATGTTTGACCAAGACGCTCGCGAGTTCATCTGCTTCAACTACACCATCGAGTTCATGAGGACGCGACAGTGACGTTGGAATGTTTCACAAAAATGTGAAATGTTTCACTTGAAAAGTTGGTGCAGCAGTCGGCAGTAGGGAAGCGTTACGTGTGCGTTCGTCGGTTCCGACGCACCCAGTTCTGCTAACAAAGCAGATTTACCTCACAGTGTGCTGAAGCTGGATGCAAATGGAAAAGAAGTTGTTGAGGCAGGAGAGGAGGACCAGTGAACTCAGAGTGTTGTCCACCTCACGAGTCAGCTGGCTCAGGTCGTTGAAAGACTCCCTGGCGTGCTTCCAGTCAAACGCGTCATCCTTTTAAGAGTACGAACAAAGCAAAAGGATAAAAAAAATGTCAGTACAAGGACGGTGAACTTGATCCACGTCCTCGGTCACCACCATTGGTGCGCACGCACGCGCGCGCGTACACACACACACACACACACCTGCGTAGTGGCCCTGCCGAGCTGGCCACGTATAATCTTGAAGCGGCGAACGATGGCAATGCTCACAATGATGACGAAAACGTCGTTGTAGTTGAGCACGAAGTTGGTGGCGGCGGTGGTGAACTCGGCCAGCAGCAGCGACGGGACGCTGTAGGGCAACGCCTGTGCCATCTGCGAGCAGAGAGGTCCCTCAGTGGGTCCCTTTCGACATCGGCGGCGCTCTTAATTGTACTTACATTGTCGTACAGAGCCTCGTAGTGCGCCTGGAGGAGGGCCGAGAACGAGGGGTAGTCTCTGGCCTGCTTGGGCAGCGCGAACGTCGTAACCTGGAGAAGCAGCTCCCCTGCGGAACAAGTGGTTTCGTGAGTGGTTGTCTGCCGACCGACACGGCCGCTCAGAGTAGTTGGCGCCCACCCAGTGCGAAGGACATGAGGACGCCGGTGACGACCTTGGCCTGCAGGCGGAGGCGCGGAGAGAGCGCGTCCTCGCCCTGGCGCCGCTCCACCCGCAGGAAGCACAGCACGAAGGGCCGCCACCGGCGAGCCAGCCGAACGTACAGGAGCAGTTCGACCGTCGACAAGATGTGGAAGCCGAGCCTGGCTGCGGACAGAGAGAAGTCGGGACGATGCCGAAGCGATGTCGAAACTATCAAAGTGGCATCAAAACGATGTCGTTTCAACAGCGTTTCCTTTGTCAGTGGGTGGGGGTGGGTGCAATGGGGAAGCAAAAGAGGGAGGGGCACAGAAGGG